TGATCAGATAACTGTCAAGTGGAATGGAGAATTGAAGGAAAAAACCCCTTACCACTGGATGAGGTTCGAAAAAGATGCCTGCGTGCTTGGAAGCGAAGGGTTCGCCTCGGGGAGAATCTATTGGGAAATAAACGTGGAAGAAGGGAAGATCTGGGCTGTGGGAGTCGCCAAAGAGTCGGTGGAGAGAAAGCACTTAATAAAGTTTGCTCCCGAAAATGGCATTTGGGGACTGGGTTTAGATGAGCAGAAAAAATACATGGCATATACCAATTCTGGAGTTGTTCCTTTGGATCTGTCCGAGCCTCTCCGAAAGATCCGGGTAAAGCTAGATTACACCGCAGGGCAGGTGTCGTTTTTCAATGCTGGGACCAACGGTTGGATCTTTACCTTCCCTCCAGCAAATTTTTCTGGAGAAAATATCTACCCTTGGTTCTGGGTTAAGGGAGGGCTGCTCAAGCTGCCAGCCATAAACTTTGAAGAGCTGGCAGCTGACCTGGTGTGGGGAACGTATAGTGAGGTGCCTCTTTACGGAGGAGACCCCTGGGAATTTTTTAATGAACCTTGGTGAAGTCCTAAGCAGATGGGCCATCTCCTACCATGCATTCTCCTTGGTTCCTCTTAATCAGATGTTTTATTCCCTTGTTAGGAGCATGGAGGCCCAGCTTCAATGTAGGAGCTTTAGATTTGGATGGCCGTGACCAGAGGTGATATTCAGTAGGTTCTGACCAGTTCTGGAGAACCGGTAGCATAAATTTTGAGTAGTTCGGAGAACCGGCAAATCCCACCTCTGACTGGAGATTTTACAGTATCCTTCCCCTGTCACGCCCACCAAGCCCTGCCCACAGAACCAGCAGTGAAAAAAAATTGAATGTTGAATCCTACCACTGGCCATGACTTATTTCCCCAAGACCCTACTGAACAACCAGTATGTGAGAATCTCTGCCTACATCTTAGGTTACATAACACTAGAGATGATATATACGCCTTTTTTTTTAGATCAATGTACTGCACTATTAATTTTCATGGGATGGTTCTTTCATATTTTCTTATGCCTTAGGCTAATTTAACCATTTTTTAAAATGTAGAGCTCCCTTGCTCATTGCTTCTTTTTTTTAGCCCACTGGGGAGACAGAATGGTTATTCAGTTCTCTTCTCCCACATCCAGTGAGTATTTTAGATATTATTCCTTCCCGATTTCTTCGTAGCTTTAGAAATTATATTTGAAATGTGAGATTATAACTTGGTCAACCCATCAGCAAGAAGTCTGCAGGGAAGAAGGTTAAAAAAATTAATATGGTGGCCACAATAATCTAAGCTCCACCCCATTTATGTGTTTTTCACACATTAAAAGAAGACTTTGATCGCATGTGTTTTTGTGGGTGATGCGTATAAAAAACCAGACACCCTTGACACATTTGAATTAAAATATTTCTTTGGACATATAAGATTAAAGTATTTCTCTAGGATTCTTCCTACTTATATACAGTTTATGAAAGTAATATTCTTAAGCTTGCTTGCACCAGTTTTATCCCTGCTCATGGTATTCTTTGTTCTTAAATCTGCATAGTACTTTTCTTTTGTCTATTATATTACTGTTTCACTGTTTGCAGACTTCCCATGTTTTCATTTAAATGTACTTTAATACTTTAAAGTTGGTTGTTATAATAAAAATTAAAAAAAACCCTCATACTGCAAATTATATTTCTGAGGCTGCACCTTTGTCACACTGCACCAATATCTGTTTATGCCTCCACACCCACAAGAAGAACCCAATATTCTGCATTAAGATAAATCAGAGCTAGATTTTAAGATTAGGTTTAGCTAAATTTAAAATTCAAGCAAGATTGACCCAGCCTGTTTTGATTCTCTATATAGATCCTCATAACTCTTCCTAGACACGGAATAGCCCTGGCAAAAACAGCAAGGATGAGATAGTTGAGATATCTGCCTTTTCCCTCCTTCTCTTGGACGGGGATCAGCTGGCATCAAAACCACCAGTGGATGTTTGGCTGGGAAGTTTGAGCAATAAAAAATCTGGGCTGAAGGAAAGAACAAAGTTTCGCTTGAGCTCCTAAACTGGGACAGAGGCAAGAATTCATCATCTTGGGAAAAAAAAGAACATACAAACACAGGATTTCAAAGTGATGCAAAAGGAATTCCTAGCTTGGCTATAGCTTCAGAAATATCATCGCTGGGCCAGAAATGAACTGGGTCAGGATAAGTGCTGCCAACTTGGGTAACCACAGAAGTCTGGAGCCATTACACAATCGTCTCTCGTCTCTTTGATCAGTAAGCCTTGATATTATTTGGTGCAATGGTTTGTGGGATCGACCTTGGGATACAGGGAGAAGAGACACAACTCAGGAAAAAACAATTTAGTCAGATAAAAAACAATTTAGCCAGCAGCAGGGCGTGGGCAGGGCAAGCAGCTCCTAGGTTTTTGGGCTGTAAAGGAGACGGGTGAAAGGAGAGGAATATATACTTGCAAGTTTCTGTTAAAAATAGATTACATTATATTCTGAATGTATTTTCAGACTTGCAAGATTCTATTAATGTAACCTTGCAATAAAATAGAATTAGCTCATTGGTTGTTGTTGTTTTTTTAATCTGGCTTCTTTGCAAAGGCTAACATTCTATGGCTAGTTGTGAAATGGACTTCTTCTGGTTAACTTAGTTTGGAATCCCAAAGGTGCTTTTTCAAGAGGCAACCGGATTTCCTTGTTGTTGTTTTTTCTTTGAAGATGTTTCGCTTCTCATCCAAGAAGCTTCTTCAACTCTTCAGAGCTGAAAAAGCTTCTTGAATGAGAAGCGAAAGGTCTTCAAAGAAAAAAAAACCAAGAAAGTCCAGTTGCCTCCTGAAAAAGCACCTTTGGGACAACCATGACTTGGATGACTGAGAATCTGTATAGACTTTTAGTTTGGAATGTTTTGAAATACCCCCAAAAGCAGAAAAAAATATAAATTGCCTCAAATGTTGAATTCAATTTCTTTCTTTTTCAGCAGCTTTTGAGTCTCTCCTTGCTTTTGATGCATGGGATGTTTGTAATCCTCATCCTCCTCCTTCTGATCAGATGTCCTCAATTAACAGAACAACAAATTATATGTATGGTAAAAATGAATCTGAAAAGGACCAACTCTTTATCACAATCATAAACCAGCAGAAGGAAAAATGGGTACAGCCATTAAAATGCATAAAGGATATATCAAGAATAAAAATAAAAATCTAAAAAAAGATGAATTAAAAACTAAAAGTATATATAAAAAGCAAGAGTTGGAAAGAAGGGGTAAGAACATCAAATGGCTGTAGAGAGCATAAAAGGTTAATATGTGGGAGACTATATCAAGTTACCAAGTATGCTAATATGGTGAATTGGGTGCTCATTTATTTTTCCTTCTGTCCAAACTTATCTCGAAGCTGCCTGAACAAATCCCTACAATTTCCTTGGCAAGGTTTTTCTGAAGTGGTTTGCCATTGTCTCTTTCCAAGGGCTGAGAGAAAGTGACTGGCCTTCACCCAGCTGGCTTTGTGCCCAAAGCAGAACCAGAACACAACTCTCCCAGTTTCTAGCTTTTAACAGATTAACAGATAATCAGAGTTAGAAGGGACCTTGTAGGCCATCTAGTCCAACCCCCCGCCCAAGCAGGAGACCCTACACCATTTCTAACAGAGGGGAGTTCAATCTCTTCTTGAAGGTCTCAAGTGATGGTGTTCCCACAACTTCTAAAGGCAAAGCTGTTCCATGGGTTGATGGTTCTCACTGTCAGAAAGTTTCTCCTTATTTCCAGGTTAAATCTCTCCTTGTTCAGTTTCCATCCATTATTCCTTGCCTGGCCTACAATAGCTTGACCCCTTCCTCCCCGTGGCAGCCCCTCAAATATTGGAAGACCACTATCATGTCTTCCCTGGTCCTTCTCTTCACTAGACTAGCCATGTTCCTATAACCGTTCTTCATATGTTTTAGTCTCCAGTCCCCTAATCATCCTGGTTGCTTTTCTCTGCACTTTTTGATACCTTAGCCTGATACCTTTGCTTGATACCTTAGCCGCTATACCAACCTGGCTTTCTAGAGCTTCACTAACCTTTAGATCAAATTAACCTTTGATAACCTTTATCAAATTTATGTAGCCATGTATCTCACCACTAGCGACTCCTGATGGGAGATAAAATTGGGATGAGATTATGGGTTGTCTATTTAAAATTATCACAGTGGGATAAAACAGCAGCAATATTTTTAAAAAACCCTACAGATGCAAAACATGAAAATCCATGTTAATAAATATCATAAAAGTATGATAGTCCCAATCCGAAGTCTGAACATCTCTCTCTGTGCAACGAAGCAAAAATTAAAAATAGACAACCCACAATTTATACCACAAGGCATTCACCAACAGAAAGTATCAAGAATACAAACTGGGTTTGACTTTCCAACTGATGACTTTGGAGAATTCTGTGTAAAGAAGGAATATTAGTAACCTTGCAAATTTCAGACAATTTTGATAAACCTTCACCCCCAATTCTCTGTCAAGATTTGGAGCTGTCTGTTGCTCAGAATGAAATGATAAAGACTAGATCCTAGTTTAATAGAAAGCTTGAGGAATGTAGTATCAGTTAGCAGAACCTTGTATTGTATCCCTATTTGGAGGGATTAGTCTTACTCTGAGAAACTCCATGTTATTTAAACCCGATAACAGAGTTTATAATTTTAGAAGCATAGAAGTTAATTTATGAGGCCTTCAAAACCTGGGACCTGAGCTTGTTCCTTTTAAAATAACCCTCCTTTTGCATCCCTGGGTGGTTTGATGTCACCTGTTCCTGTCACTCCAAATTCCCCTTTGCCCTCTTCCTGTTGACATCCCTCCAGTTATTTAATGTCTTCCTAACCAAACAAAGCTGGACCCTTTTAGATATTATTCACTGTCATGAACCTTTTTGCTCTGAGCTCCCTCCTCAGAATAGTTGGACGGCTCCGATTTCATTTAGTCGCTTAATTTCTTTGGGAGCATCAGAACGGACTACACCGCCTTGGTTTGAAGAACAGGAAGACCTGAGGTGAGGAGAGCACAAAAAAAACCCAACAACAACCAGGCAAATCGGAGATCTGGAATGAGATTAAAGTCAGGAACGTCAGGAAGAATTTTCAATGGCTGGGAGGTTCTTGAGATATGACTTTTGATTTTTGTCAAAAATTTATAATCAGAGAAGGGTCTTAGGGGGGGATTAGATGGTATCGGGGCTAAGAGATAAAATAAGAAATCAGAAACCCCTTGGTGGAGAGATTTTAAGTGATCCAACTCCTGTGGAAACATTTCTTTCATAAAAAGGACACCATTCTGTTGTTTACCCAATTCTACGTTGGAGTGATAACAGGTACCTGAAATATTTGGAACATTTGAAAGGTCTGTATAAATTTGTTACATTGCAAAAGGAATATATTTGGAATATTATTCCAACAGAAGTGGGCAGAGCCAAGAAATAATTCTTTTTTTTAATTGCATTTGAATCGTGTTTTGGGTAGATCTATAAATTTTTTGTTCTATAAAATGGGCTAATTGGTTACATAATATACATTAGATTCCAGTTAATGAACTGCAGAGCCCCAAAGTCATGGTCATAAATTAAGATCAGTTTTACAAGTACACCATTATTACTGTATTAAATGATTCTAAATAATCCTACAGCTGAGATACCAGAGAGAAAAACAACCAAGCAAATACAGTTCACTCTATACTGGAAAGAGAGACTAAAACAGAAAAGTTATATAATATCCTGAAGGCAAAAATGTTGACTGAGACATCATTATTTTCTAAGACACATAGTCTATTAGAACACCAATATCTCTAAATTTTAGGACAATTGTCTTTGGAACCAGCTAAGTTTCACAGCACTTGAGAGAAGCTAAGATCACTTACAGCTGGGGTGTCATGGTGGTGTCACATGACGTATCAGGACTTTTTCCCTCTTCCCTAAAGCGGTCATGGGCGTGGCCAATGCATGATGCATCCAGCCTGCGGACCAGGAGTTTGACAGCCCTGACCTATAGTTTAGGGTTAGGGTCATAAATACATGCTAGTTGCCAAGCGTCCAAATTTTGATCATGTGACCATGGGGGATGCTGCAACAGTCCGTCAATGTGAAAAATGGTCATAAATCACTTTTTTCATTTGAACTGTCACTAATTGTATGGTTTGTAAGTCGAGATCTACCTGTATCTCCCAACCTTGGTAATTTCTAGGTAGGTTGAGTTCAATTCCCAGAATTCCACAGCTAGCATGGCCATTGCTGAGAATTCTGGGAGTTAAAGTCCACACACCTGGAAATTGCCAGGGTTGGCAAATATTACCTTAGAGCATTGTTTGAAAAAAATAAATAAATTCAAATCTGTGAACTTTGGTTAATAGAATGATTGAACTGAGAATGATGGGGTTAGAGATGATCACAAAAACCAACTAGTCCAACTCTCTGCAGTGGCCTTTCTCCTTCACTCAGGCAACACTGATGTCACAAAGAAAGATTCCTTCAAGGAAACTCCTCCTTGAAACCCTTAAGAGATTTACAGGAGTTGAAAAGCTGGCTTGAGGACCCCGAATTTCTCTTTCTGAGCGGCAAGAAAGAGGCTGGAAGAGCTCACGAGGGTCTGATGCTGGTGCCGTTTTGTTTTCATTTGTTAAAGGTAGTTTGGGACGGGAAACATAAATGATCTTTATGCAAAGCTTAGCTAGAGAAGATGGTGTGGAAAGAATATTTTTCTTGCTGTTCTCTGAGCTTGATTGTTTTCTTGCAGGTGTTTCATTACCCAAACTAAGTGACATTGTAAGTGCTTACTAGCAAATTTTATTACTAGGTAATGAAACGTCTAGTACCGTGATGGCAAACCTATGCCACATGTGCTGGAAGTGGCATGCAGAGCGATCTCTCTGGGCACGCCAGCTGTCGCCTGTTGTTCTTCCGAGTTCTGGCATGTGTATGTGTGCCTGCCAGCTGATCTTCGTGCACATGGGAGTGCCGGAAACTGGAAGATCAGCTCCCCAGCATGCACTGGCCAGCTGGTCTTTGCGCATGCATGTGTATTAGAAACCGGAAGACTAGGTGGCTGCCATGCATCCATGTGCCAGGAAGTTAAGCTTCTGGTTTCATGTGCTTCCATGCGTGCGCACCAGAGAGCTGCTCTTCCGGTTTCCGGCACACACGTGCCCACTTCCATTTCAGCACTCAGTGCCGAAAAGGTTCACCACCACTGATCTAGTAGTTTCCTTACTAGTTTCACTAGGTAATAAAACTTCTGCAAGAAAACAAAGAAGCTCTAGAGAGCACCAAGACTCTCTCGTTTCAACTCTGAGCTACAGCTACTCTCCTTTATTAGAATAATGTTCTTTTGCCACAGTTAGGAGAAAGGACTTTGTATTATGATATTTGTTATCACTGACTGGGGAGTTTGCACATGACATTGGACCATAATACGTTCATTAGAGTTTGACTCGGTGTGTGGTTCAGGTTCAGTTCTTGTGGCTTATTGAACAAATCAGGATTAGGCAAACGGTGACTTCATGTAATGCATACATTGAATCCATGCGTAAATTGTATTTCTTGGTTGATGGGCCTGCTTGTTCTTCCATTCAGAGGTATCCATGGAAGTAAGCATTTACAAAATGGCTGGCGCGGCATCACTACAAGAGCCTCTCTCTTTTGTGCATGCAACAAAGTGAACATATGTGCAAAAAGGACAGAGCTTGTGTTGTGGGGTTGCATGTCCATCTACTTATCTGTAGCCATTATAACCAGGACTTTATTTTGAAGGGGGATGCTGGCAATGATTACTAGCCAGCTATCTCTGGCTTCCCATTTGTTAAGTACAGGTAATTCCTCAACTTAGCAAACCTTTGAAGTTACAATGGTTCTCAGATAAAGCTACATGACTTGGATTTGAAGTTCCAATGGCCTATACCACCCTTGCAGTCACACAATTGTACATAGGGAGCCCCAGCACCTGGCTTCCATTTACAACTGTTTGCATTCAATAGTCATATCATCCCATGTTACAACGGTTTCGCTGAAAACGGGCATTTACTGGCAGTTTTCGGCAAAACCAATATACAGCAAGCAATGGACTCTCTTTACAATCATGACATTCATCTTATGACCACCACCCCCCAAAAAAAGATCATAAAAACATTAAGATCATAATGGCAAGCTCCATTACAGCCATAAATCAAGGGTGAATTGATGATCTTTCTCAACCGAGAAGATTTAATGTTGGGGGAATTGTTTTTGAGAGCTGAACTGTTTTTTTGGTTTTTTTTCGAGAAGGATCCATATATCCTCTATAGGTGGCTCAGTGGTTAAGATGCTGAGCTTGTCGATCAGAAAGGTTGGCAGTTCGGTGGTTCGAATCCCTAGCGCCGCGTAACGGAGTGAGCTCCCGTTACTTGTCCCAGCTTCTGCCAATCTAGCAGTTCAAAAGCATGTAAAAATGCAAATAGAAAAATAGGGACCACTTTGGTGGGAAGGTAACAGTGTTCCATGCGCCTTCAGTGTTCAGTCATGCCAGCCACATGACCACAAAGATGTCTTCGGACAGCGCTGGCTCTTCAGCTTTGTAATAGAGATGAGCACCGACCCCTAGAGCCGGAAACAACTAGCACACATGTGCAAGGGGAACCTTTACATATACCCTCTGGCATTTGTAGAATACAGGAAAGAGAGACAATTCACAAACGTTTTTGTGGAGGGCATCATTTTTGTGAGGCTGAGAGAACCAAGGAGAAGCAGCAAAATCAGAGCAAAGCAAACCAGGAACAGCTGCTTTCTGGACTCTGAGAAGCGAGGAGTTAAGTTGTTAGGATATTCTGGCAGAAGACAAGTACTGTATATCAGCTATTGTTAAATGCTAGCATTCTAGGAAAAACAGACTGGTAAGGCAATTAGCCGAAACAAACACATACTTGCATATTGCCGGCATCTCCAATGGAGCTTGCCGATAACTAATAGCTAAGAGTACGATCATAATTTAAGCATATGGTTTTTGAAAGATAAGCAGGGAGTGATCCTTGTTAACAGTTGATGCAGAAGCTCGACATGCAAAACCCACTGAAACATTTTGGGGCAGGCTTGTAGGTAAATCTCTTGTAGATCTTTCCTGGTTTATCTTTCTTAGCAGACCTTGTTAGCATTTAGTAGAAAGCTACATAACCACAAGTAAAGTAGAAAATATATGCATATACACTTATGCATAAGACTAACACTTGTGCATGTGTGTATATGTATATAGATATAGATATAGATATACTAACACTGGAACTATAATGTTCATCTCAGATCTCTGACTATACGGGTAAGTCAATGTAGAATTTTGGTGTGGATTGTATTGTATTTAAGAGTTAAGACTTACACAAAGATGTAAGGAATGAAGGCGAATATACGTGTCCCAGGATAATGTTGCAGGATCCAATCTGGGTCACCAGGACCAAAGGTTTTGTCTTCCAAGCTTTTGGACTCGTGCTGGAGCTCATCTTCAGGGGACTTCTCTCTAGCACAGTGTGTGATGTGAGACTTACTGGCATGTGGTATTTGAGCTTGCTTATCACTATTTTAAATATTATCTCCCCATTTTACTTTCCTGCAGTGCTTGTCATTCTGGTTGTCACTGTTTTAATAAAGAAAAATTACCAGTACATATTCCTGTTCTCCTTGTGTATGCATGTATATGTGTGTATGTATGTGTATGTATGTATATGCGTCTGTATGTATACATATATGTACACTCACTTGCACATACATATGCATTTACTATATGTACACAAACACACATACATACATATACCGATACAAATACACACAAATCACAATCCATTTTGAATACATAGCTGAAAAAAGAGTCTTAACAAGGTTGATATTTTATGGTATAAAGCTATTACAGAATCTAGTTGTTCTGCTTCAGATGCTGCGAAGCCTCCTCCCAGAAGGTAACAAAGAAATAATTGTTTAATGTATGACTGTTATCCTAAGCAGCAGAAATCACTCCTGATGGCTTCTGATAAAAAAATGATCTGTTGGTTAGATCTATAATCTGACATTAGAACAGGAATGAGCAACTATGGCAAATATATGACCTGTGTGGACTTCCACTCCCAGAATTCTTGAGCAGCCATGTTGGCTGAGGAATTCTGGGAGTGGAAGTCCACAGGTCATAAAGTTGCCATAGTTACCCACACTGTATTAGAAAGAACACAAAAAGAGGCCTAAGCCAATTTTACAATACACTGTATATGAATGCATTATAACTTTTCCTGAATCCACATTTCTGTTGTTTTCTTCCTTAGGGAACCAGGAGATAGGATCACATCTTCAAACCGTTCTACAGGGGAAGCAGTTTGTTTGATCAGTTTGACCAACTGTTAACATCCAACCACTCCATATTCTCAAACATGCACCAGCCAATCCCTGGAGGATGAAGTAAAAGATAAAGCGATTTGTTCAAGTTGTAAAGGAGATTCATTGAAAAAACAAACAAGGGTCCACAGAACTTCTGGGGAAAATGAAAGAAGAAGCTATCAGACAGGCAACTGTAGAGGAAACAGATTGGCGTGCAATTCAAGATGTGTGCAAGATACATAAAGAAGACTTAAGTCTTTTCTGTTTGGAGGATCAAATTCCCCTTTGTTCACTCTGCAGAAAATCCTGGGATCACGCGGGGCACACTGTCATTTCCAGGAATCAACCAGAAAATCAGGTAAGCCAATGTAATCCTCCAAAACAATGTATTAAGACGATAAGGAGCCAGCCCCTAAAACTCCTGGGATAAAATCTTCCCTTTTGAAACCTTCTGCCGATTAATTAAAAAAACCATCATCTGCACCAGCCTCCAGTCAGTCTCCAAGGGCAGCTCCTGACATTCATTAGAGTAATCTAGCCATGAATCAGTTCACTTTCACTTGTTTTGTGTATTATATGTCATAACAAATTGACTCTGATTAAACATATTGGCTTCAGCAAAAATACAACATGCACCCATCGTGATAACTGTGATTTGTTTTTTTCCCCCACTGTTATATATCACCCTCACCCCAGACTGAAAAATATGAAACATGGATATTAAATTGTCGAAAGATCAAACGAAGTATCACCCAGGCCACAGCAACTGCAGAAATATTAGACTTAAAATTAGCCTGGGGGATAAGGGAGTTTTAATATTTTTGTGTTTGCACCGAAGTTCTTCTTCCCCCCAAATATCACTATAATACAACACAACACAACACAATAATACAATACAATACATAAAATCAATATAACAACATAACATATAATATGGTACAGTATCATATCATGCTGTATCCAAAGACCAGGATTCAAAGAGCTAAATTATTATATATTTTATTTTTCATTTCTAGCCAACCTTTATTAATTTTTGAAGTAACTCAAGGCGGTGAACATACCTACTATTTCTTCTATTTTCTCCACAACAACACCTCTGTGAAGAGGGTTGGGCTGAGAGAAAAATGAGTGGTTTAAACTCACCCAACTGGTTTTTCATGCTTAAAGTGGGACTTGCCCTGATGCCTTAGCCACTAGACCAAAGTGGCTGATATATCTATTAATATGGTGAAAACCATCTCTTATTGGATTTGTTGCATAGGAAAAATTCAAGGCATCCCATAATACTTTACCTCCTTCTTTTTTTGTCTAGGCTACTGGAAATGTCTTGAATGGGTAAGTGTTTTCCTGCTGAAGCACCAATATATTTGTTTGACATGTATGCTACCCTTCTCGCTTCACGCTTTGACACTTTCAAATCTAGACCTGCAGCAATTGGATGTATCTCATTGATTCCATGATCCAATGGCAGCTCCTAGAAGATCTTAGCTCATCCCAGGTCCAGCAAAACCAGCCTGCCCCATATATGGTGTCACTTTCCATCTCTAGAGATAAGAGTTCCCAGCCTGGGACATTTCTTGGCCAACTGCTTCTGACCTGGGAAAACAGACAGAGTCAGATCTGCTTGGTACCCGGATGAGAAGTCTTAATTAATTTGGGAAGTTGATGGGGAAAAAAACGTTCTTAGGATGAAGAGTGGTAATCAATTCACTTCTGTGTTGTTACCAAGGAAACTGTATGAATTGGATGTCTGAAAGTCTGTAGGGATTCTCATCCAGGACATCCAGTTCATGGTTGTCCCAAAGGTGCTTTTTCAAAAGGCAACTGGACTTACTTGTCTTTTTCCTTTTGAAGATGTTTTGCTTCTCATCCAAGAAGCTTCTTCAGCTCTGACAGGACAGTGGGGAATGGAAGGATTTATATTGTTTCAGCTATGCTGGCTGGAGAATTCTGGGAGTTGAAGTCCACAAGTCTTAAAGTTGCAGTTTGGTGACATCTACTCTAAAAGGATGCAAATGTCCAGCTGTCTGATAGGAGTATAAATCCTTCCACTCCCCACTATCCTGTCGGAACTGAAGAAGCTTCTTGAATGAGAAGCAAAATGTCTTCAAAAGGAAAAAAAAACAAGTCCGTTTGCCTCCTGAAAAAGCATCTTTGGGACACTGAAGTCTGAAGTAATTAGGACCTAAACTCAACCAAGAAAGCCATTTTGATACTTTTTAAAAAAAAATCTTGATGCTACTGTATTAAGATGGAGATTATTTACTTATAGCACCTGATTGCCATGTTATTGACAAGCTATTTTAGATAATACAGGTAGTCTCGTCTTATGACCACAATTGAACCCAACTAAGTGACACATTTGTTAAGTGAGCTTTGCCCCCATTTTACAATTTTTCTTACCACCGTTGTTCAGCAAATCACTGCAGTTGAAAAGTTAGTAACCTGGTTGTTAAGTGAATCTGGCTTCCCCATTGATTTCGCTTGTCAGAAGGTTGCAAAAGGGGATCGTATGACCTTGGGATACAGCAACAGTCATAAATGTGAACCAATTGCCAAGCGTCTGAATTCGACAATTGGGGATGCTACAAAGGTCGTAAGTGTGTAAAATGGTCGTAAGTCATTTTTTTCAGTGCTGTCGTAAGTTTCAATGGCCACTAAGTAAACTGTGGCAAATCAAGGATTACCTGTGTTTCTACTGCTACCTTTTGTGAATAGTTTAGTTGAAGAATCACATTATATTCCAGTTTACAGTATTGTAGGAAAAGGCGAATGTTTTGATCTTCTTCAATTGCATATCCTTTATATCGTGAATTTCCTCTCTCCTTAGGGGGAAAGAGAGTTTTCCAAAATCCCAGCCAACCATTGTAGAATTTTCAAACATAAACCCAGCAGACTTCATAGAAAAAGGTAAGGGTGAAAAATGTTGTAAGTCACTTTTTGGGGTGCCACTGTAATTTTGAACGGCCACTAAACAAAGAGTCGTAAATTGAGGACTAGCTGTGTGTAATGACTGTGTCAGGTGAGGCTCCATTCAAAATCCAAGAAAGAAAACCTTAGACTCCATTGTTTATAGAGAAAATGACTTTTACTGAAAATTGAAGTGGTAGCATCAGAAGAATACAAGGTCTGAGGCAATAGGCGCGAAAATCACATATAGAAAATTATCCCATGTTCCCACCCCCAAGAGTTCAAACTGACCATCCAATCTGAGGTGTGTATAATGTCATGTGAGGCATCTTCAGGTGGTGTCTCACACATCTGGTATTCCAAGACGGTTGACCTTGGCTTAGGCAGATAAGGGGCTCCATCTGCTCAGTAAGCAAGTAGGAATAGTCAAGGAAACATCCCAATTTTTACATTTCACCAACTTAAAATCTCCAGCATCCTTCCCCCCCCATGAAGCCCAATTATTCTTCCCTCCCCCGGTTTCTATGGCAGCCGGAAAGACAAGCAGAAGAAGGATTCTTGGAGACTGACAGACTGTTTGCTTGACTGGCCTGCCAAAGAAATAGAAGGAAGCCCAGATCAAATCTTGTAATGAAACAGGAAGCTGGATGATTTCACATTCAAAAAACGATTTTTCACACAAGATTTCTGATTCTCAGGGTTTCAAAGGGCCCTAGTTTTTTTTTTAAAAAAAAATAGGACTAATAGCAATAGCAATAGCCCATAGACTTATATACCACTTCACAGGGCTTTACAGCCCTCTCTAAGCTGTTTACAGTCAGCCTATTGCCCCCAACAATTTTGGGTTCACAAAAGAAATTTCCAAAGTGAGTCCCTGTCTCTACTTCCTTCAAAAAATGTCTTTGCCAGGCTTGCTTTGTCCACTTCCTCAACATTTAGGTTCAATTGGACTTAGTTCCAGATCCATATAGGTAGTCTTCAATTTATGACCACAATTAAGCCCAACATTTCTATTGCTAAGTGAGACAGTTGTGAAGTGAGTTTTTCCCCATTTTTGCAATCTTCCTTGCCACCGTTAAGTGAATAACTGCGGTTGTTAAGTTAGCAACACGGTTATTAAGTGAATCTGGCTTCTCCATTGCCTTTGCTTGTCTGAAGGTCACAAAAGGGGAACACATGACACACACACGGAATACTTCAACCGTCATAAACATGAGTCCGTTGTCAAGCATCCGAATTTTGATCATGTGACTATGGCGATGCTGCAATGGTCATAAGTGTGAAAAACAGTCAGAAATCACTTTTTCAGTGCTGTTATAACTTCAAATGGTCACTAAATGAACTGTCGTGAATTGAGGACTGTCTGTAAGTAGGATTTTCCGATCTCCCAATTAATCTCGCCCTGCTTACCGATGGCGCTGCGATGGAATTTGCACGAGTCAAGAGCAGGGGTGTCGAACTTCTGGCCTGCGATGTGGTTGGATCTGGTCCAGGGGCAAGGGTGGGGTTCAAAAATCCCAGCAACCGATTCGCTGCCCAGTTGCTGGGTAGGCGTGGCCATGGTGGGCGTGGCCTCCTGGAACTTCCAGGAGGGCTGTTCTTCTCCTTCCCAAGGTTCCAGAGGCTTCCCTTGGACCTCTGGGAGGGTGGAAATGGTCTCCCCTGGGCTCTGGAGGCCCTCCGGAAACCACAAACAGGCCCATTTCCGAACTTCCGGTACTTCCAGAAGGCCCGTTTTTCCCCCTCCCAGAGCCTCCGCACAGACCCTGCACTGACCTGCATCAAAAATGGGCCACATGGAGACGCCGGGGAGGAGAGGGGTGGGCAGGGCCAGCTGGTTGGTTCAAATACCAGTTCGGGGAACCAGGTGCAAATTTAACATCCGGTTTGCCCGAACCAGTCTGAACTGGTAGAATCCCACCTCTACCCAAGGGGCCGTCCTAGAAAATGTAAGGGGCAGGCCCACATCTCTTTGGCCTAGTCTATCCAATGCAAAGAGGAAACATCGGCCCAGCGAGGCTTCGGCCTGGTCTACCCAGTGCAAAGAGGAAACATGCCAGCAGTTTGGGGAGTGGCATCAAGCTGGCAATGCCCACCCAGTTGGCCATGCCCAGATGCCCCCCCCCCAAGGTCAACCACAGCCCTGATGCGGCCCTCAGTGAAATTGAGTTTGACACCCCTGGTCAAGAGGAAAGAAGTTTGCTGTTGCCTCAGGTAACGCAGGTATCTAACTGCCGTTTATTTTTCCAAGGAGGAGCAACTGATGGGAATGAAGATGACAACAAGGGTAATAAGCATGCAGCTATTGAGCAGTGTGTGGACTTCATCTCGGAAGAAAAGAAGGAAGCAGGTATGAGGCACTTGACATTATGGGATATTCCTCTGAATTGCAGGGAGACAATTTCTCTGTTTGGATCCCAGAAGCTTCTAGACTGCTGAAAATAATCAGCCAAAAAGCAAGATGGTCCTGAACTAAGAGTTTGTCTTCTGAATACATGCTTAGACAATCTGTGTGTCCCCAGAATGATTGATGGAGCAACTGCTGAGGGATTTAATGACTCCATTGAGCACCAAATCCCAAACTTTCTGAGCTGGAGTTCTCCATGGTTCCAGAGCTCTCCAAGGTCCTAGAGTTCTACCTCAGAAAGTTGAAGATGTGTGGACTTCAACTCCCAGAATTCCCCAGTTCTGGGAGCTGAAATCCACATATCTTGAAGCTAATATATTCTTCCTTGTTTGCTTGCCATCCAAGAAACTTGTATAGCTTGAAAGGATCTCCGGGAACTAATCTAGGCCAAGTCAGAAGTAGAAACAGGTGTGGCACTGCGTCCTTTCAGCGACTTTGCACTCATTTGCACACTCTGATTCAGATGCCTCTGAGGATACAGTTAAACCCCCAAGTGGCCTCAATGACACTCAGAGAGCTAAGAGCCAGAGGACTGACTGCAAAGAATATAAATCCTTCCATTTCCCACCAGTCAGTTAGAACTGAAGAAGCTTCTGGGATGGGAAGTGAAATGTTTTCAAACAAACAAAAAAAAAAAGCCAAGAAAGTCCAGTTGCTTTTTAGCAAAAGCATCTTTGGGGCAACTATGACCTGGATGATTGCGAATCTCCAAAGACACATAATACTGTATTTTACGAGCACAGCATGTGTCACATCAAGCGGTGCAGTGGGCTAGAGAAGGAGCTCTTGCCTCACAATCAGGAAGCTGTGTGTTCGATCTTAGGTAGAGGCAGATGTTTCTCTCTCTGGGCACAATGAGAATAGATCTGCTGAACAAAGCTCCACACTGGTGACAGGAAAGGCCTCCGGCCATTAAACACTCAGCTCCATTCAGTTGCCCAGATTCCACCCCGCAAGGGATTATGGGGCCATTAAAAGAAGAGGATGATGACGACAGGGTGTGTCATATCACTGAGGTGACTGAGGCACCTTTTACAAGCAGGTTCCCCATTGCCTTCCAGATGATGCTCACCATTACCTCTGGGCCGCCACAGATAGCCGGGCCCTGGCGAGACACGTTGAGAGACTTCCTTTAGCCACCTCTGGAGCACAGCAAGCTCCCCCGTAATTCAGAAGCTTCTGTTTACTTATCTGCTTCTTTGAAGTTATAGTTTGTGGTCTGGACCTCAAGGACGAGCTACTGGAATAATTAGAGATACCATTCCAAAGCTCATCTTGAAGAACGTAGTTATGAAACCAACTCAGCTTGGATTAATCAAGCAGGACACAAATGTTTGAGCTGCTGAGAACTGTTTATTCAACAGGATGTTAAATACAGTTGAGAGAAAGGGAGGAGGAGGAAGAAAAAAACTGGCACCACTTTCTGATCACACCTATGTTTAATTGCAATCATGGGTGCTTTGAGAGGCCATGAAACTGGGTGTTATCCGTTGCCAAGATAATACAGGATCCAATGAACCATTTCTAAGTTCATTCTAAGTTCTTCTAAGGAAGGTCTTTTTAGAAATGCAATAACAATAAATTACAATGACATATGATCTTTTCCTTTGTAGGCACCCAACCCAACGTAAGGGTCAAAAACTCAATCACCTGGATTATCCTCATACTATTTGTCATTCAGATTGCGGGCTTGGTAACCACCATCTTCGTTTTTACAAGTGAGTGACCCACTCGTGTTCCCTATCGATCGATCCAAGTTTCATCCTTTTTAAGAATAACTTACTACAGCTGGTCCTCAACTTCATTCATTTAGCGATTGTAAGTCGAGGACCTTTGAGACAGAAAATATCCCAGTCCTGGATCACCCACCTTAACAAAAGGATTCAGGATCCGTGTGAGGAGAAGAAGGCCCGGCGTTCAAGGCAGCCATGTCTTCGGTTCAGGCCCTATGGCAGTGATGAGGAAACTTTTTGTTAGGGTGTGCCGAAAGCGTGTGTGCGCCCACACTCACAATGCAATGTGACCTTCCCCCCCCACGCATGCACACGCAACACCCCTGCCCCATCCCCTTACCTGCACTGTGCATGTACGCGCCTCCCAGCTGATTTTTGGCCCATTTGAGGTCGTTTTCACCCTCCCAGCGGCTCGAAAGAAGCCTCTGCAGCCTCAGAAGGCTGAAACATGGCCCTTTGCGCATACGCAGTGCAGGTAAGTTTGGCTGGGGTTCGTGTGCCCGCACAAATGGCTCTCTGGCACATGTGCCACAGGTTCGCCATCACGTCCCTATGGATTCTACGGGGGCACTGGAAAAAATGGCTTATGATCGTTTCTCACACTTACGACTATTGCAGCATTCCCCATGGTAATTTTTGTGATTAAAATCCAGACACTTGGCAATTGACTCATATTTATGACAACTGCTGCGTCTCGGAGTCATGCAAATCCCCTTTTGTAACCGTCTAACAATGGGGAAGCCAGATTCACTTACTAAACATATTACTAACTTAACAACTGCAGTGACTCAGTTAACAACTGTGGCGGGAAAGGTCATAAAATGGGGCAAAACTCACCTAACAACTGTCTGGTTTAACAATGGAAATTTGGGGTTCAATTGTGGTCCTAACTGAGGATTATCTGTAATATTGTATGCACCATCAATGTTACTAATCCCCCAACTGCAGTGATTCACTTAGAAACTGTTGTGAGAAAGATTGTAAAACGGGGCAAATCTCACTTAATTGTCTCGCTTAAGCCACAGAAATTTTGGTCTCCGTTAGGTCAAGGACTACCTGTATCTTATGTAAACATGGACTACAGTTTTGCTTCCCCAAATGTTGAGAATAACTTCCCACATAACAGGCATGGTGGTTTACTTTGCAATATACACATTGGGGAGGTTAATTTATGAAAATGTTGGTTATTCCTTTGTTTCTCTTTCTTACTCCGGAGAACATCCCTCATAATCAGTGGAGGGGTTCAAAATATTTTACTACCGGTTCTGTGGGCGTGGCTTGGTGGGCGTGGTGTGGCTCGGTGGGCGTGGCAGGGGAAGGATATGTAAAATCCCCATTCCCTCCCCATCCCACTGACCTGCTTTCCAGATCCGTTCTCCTATGCAGGGCAACAAAAGAAGGCCCAGCCGATCAGCTGGGACTCGGGAGGCAGAGAATAGATGTGGGCGGGGCCAGTCAGAGGTGGCATTTGGTGGTTCTCCAAACTACTCAAAATTTACTCTACTGGTTCTCCAGAACTGGTCAGAACCTGCTGAATAGCACCTCTGGCTCATAAGCAAGCAAGCAGACAGTGGCTCAGTGCAGGGGACTGTTCATTGGTTTTCCTGCACTGTCATTCGGTGGAAATGTCACCCAGAAAGCCCAACAGACCATGGTTGGAATCCAAGCAGCCATTTTATTTTGGAATCTGTCAATTTTGCACAGAGTTTGGAGAATATCAAAGGGAGGCAAATCCTCGTTTAAATAAATATTTTTGTAACCGGGAGGGAACGAATGTGAGATGACTTTAATGATTCTGGTCCAGGAAGATTGCTGGACTCCAGCAGCTGTTTATCTGGCCTCCCTCCTTATCAGACATCTGTGTCAAAATACGGTTCATGAAAGGGAGGCTAAGACGCTGTCTGTCTCCAAATAAAACTGCCCAGAATTACACC